GTAAAGTTACTCCAGCACTTCATTCCCTCCAGTGAGGAATAAAACCAAAACAAAAGAGCCGCAGCTGCCTGCAATGCACAGAGTAACCCTGTGCTCCCATTTCACTGCCTGGGACAGAGGTAGAACTCACCCCTTTGAGACATCAGACAAGTCAGAATCATAAATGATAAGCTGAGAAAGGAAGGTTTGTAGACATCAAAAATTTCAGAACCTGAAAGCACAAGATCATAGATACTTCTAATTATGCAAAAAATGACAGAAAAAGCTCACTGAAAATAAAGGGAGAAGCAAGCATGATAACCACTGTGCGTTACTAATAGCCACAGAACAAGGGATTAGAAAGGCTTATTGCCATGAAGGATAATTATTTCAATTGTGTAATACTATTAAAATAGTATAAAACTACTTGAGACGTACTGTGCTCTCAGGTTTTGCTGCTTTTTCTGCTAGTCCTACAAAAGATCCTACGCTGTATGTGTTTCTTCACTATTTCAAAGAGATGAGATTGAGGAAAAAAGTTATATTTAATTTTTATTATTTTTTAAATTAAAAACAACACTCAAGCTATCTATTTAATAGTGGGAAGTGGTTTTTAGTGTAGTACCTTTAGATTGTTACCTACCTCTCTACAAAATACACCTTGCTATCAGTAAGGTACCATTTCAGCATCTAGGATTTGCACCTGCATGGGAATATAATTATGGGTTTGCAATTCAGATACCCTTCCACCAAGCTGCACAATTTCAAAGCAAAACCCTAAGGAGTAGAACAGACCAGGCAGGATGAGACTGAATCTTCACTTTCCCAGGAGAATCATAGAACAGCTTGAGTTGGAAGGGACCTCAAGTATCACCAAGCTCTACCACCCCACCACAGGCAGGGCCACCAAGCTCCACATTTAATACCAGATCAGGCTGCCCAGGGCCAACATTTGTCAGCTTCAGTCAGCTGAAATCTGGGTTCTTGCTCATATATCTTATGGTCATCAGAAAGTTTCAGAAGAGTGGGGACAGTAATACAATATTTTTGTATTTCTGAAAAGAATCTACCAACCACCCTCATTACTTAGAAGCGTTACAGCTTCTGCTGGGACACTTCCCCAACTTAGATCCAAAGCACTCTTGTGGCAGCGCTGAGCTCTCCAGAAGGCTGTGACAGGACAAGAGGAGTGTGGTTTTCAACTAAAAGGAAGATGTTGATTAGATATCAGGGAAAATTTATCAACTCAGAGGGTGGTGAAACATTGGCACAAGACTGCTCGAAGAAGCTGCGGATGCCCCATCAGTGGAGGTACTCAAGGTGAGTTCGGATGGGCAGTCCAATCTGGTGTGTAGCAACCCTACCTATGGCAGGGGGATGGAACTGGAAGGTCTTTAAGGTCCCTTTTAACCAAAGCAATTCTGTGATTCTATGAGGGTAGAAGAGCTGCTTTTACTCACATCGATCCTGATCAGGGCCCAGCAGGCAGCAATAAACACTCTCCTCCTGCTAGTGAGTGGGTCAGCCCTTCAATGCTGTTTGGTGTCACAAGGAAAAAACTACTTTCTAAGAAAACAAAAGCAATCAAGAAATACTGAGCCATATATGCTATAACAAAAAGTATCCTCTGCTGGAGGCAACGCAGCAGTCATCAACAGAAGACACTGTAAGACACTTCTCTTCATTTACCAGCTTCCTTACCGAGTTTTCATGGACATGACAAAGGACTGTTAATTCATCTGTAACTCAGAAAAAAATCTGCCATTACTGACACAAACATCTAACTGCAGTGGCTGCCATTATTAAACCTTTATTATTTGCTACTGATGCTCCCACATAACAAGACAAATCAGATATAAGCACGTTACTTCAGAAACAAAACTCCCCAAATCAATTATAAATTTATTTAAAAGTTATTATTTACTTATAATACGTAATATATAATATATGGCTCTGGGCAGCCTGGTCTACTGGTTGGCAGCCCTGCACATAGCAGGGGGGTTGAAACTAGATGATCACTGTGCTCCTTTTCAACCCAGGCCATTCTATGTTTCCATGATATAAATAAATTCTAATAAGCAACAGCTCGGACTGGGGTCTCATGCTAGCAATGAACAGCACTTCATGGGTACAGCACGTGGGCAGCCTTGGAAGAGCTTTTTATGCTACAGATGATATTCTGAACCTGGTTCAGAAAGGATTCCTGTTAAAGCCTCTAATGAAGGAAGAAAGTTTTACTACACTTCTCAATACCATACAGCATCATATATAGTTATCTCTGTATAAACACAATGAGGCAGGCCATTTGGGACTAAAGTAGGTCTCAGGAAAAAAAAAAAAATTGGGCCCACATAAAGAACTCAGAAGTAGTATCAATAAAATAGAGAATCTCACTGAACACACGCAGAAGAGGTTAGATGTAGAAGGTTCTAGTTAAATAAACTGTCTACACGCAAAAAGTGTGCTTCTAAAGCATCAATGAATCATGAACATCATTTAGATAAAAGTAATCAAACTTCCTTGGGCTTGTTTATATTTGATATATGTAACAAGCTGGGTCTTTAGCAGAGTTCAAGGAAAACAGATCATTATTCCATTTTCCTTTTTAAACTGCACCTCACTCTATGAAAATTAGATTCCATACTCATTAGGAGCTTCTAAATGAGTGCTCCTTTGCTGATGCTACATTTTTTCCTGCCTGTGTCCCAAATTTAGAAACAAATACTTGTACTTCTATGTTTGCAACACAGCAACAACATAAAAGAACTTAAAACTCATCTGCAGCCCATGAGTTATTGCTGTTCCCCAAGACCATAGCTGAGGACAGAAAAAGAAGGACATGCTCCATCAGAAAGGAGATTCTGTTTGTTTCTTTGGACAGCAAAACCTTAGAATTGCCAGTGGCTTGAAGTGCTGGAATTGATCCCAATGAAGACAAATTAGACAGCTGAAAGCAGAGATGATGTTGTATAAGGCATCCGAAAGGGCACTCAGTGCACTGCACTGCTTTGTGTGATGCAAGTCTCCCTACTGTGGATGCAGCACATGTGTTAATATTATCTGAACACTCAAGACTGCAAAGAAACCTTTTTTAAAAATAACTTTGCAATGAGGAAATATAAAACAAATGGATCTGCTCAAATGTTTTATTTACCAAACTTTATTCCTTCTCATCTTCCCACTGTACAGATATGACTGCATGTATCGAATGTCATAAAGACAGCTTACTTTCAATCTGAAAGCCACACAAGTCACAATTCCAACTATATCTTCTCATTTTAGAGGATGAAACAACATGATATTGAAATGAAGGGAGAATAAGCCACAAAAGACTTGCCATCTCAAGCAGCAACATATAAATCCAAATGAGAAACATCACTAAATTAATACCAGCCATGAGAAACCCCAAAGCAACTAACACGGTGGAAAAAAGCAGCCCACTTGATTAGCTTGATGCTGTTACGCCAGGTTTCCATCAAGCAAAACGTTTAGTTCAGGGTGGGGTTATTTTGCTGGTCAGATGTGTTTTTGTTTTTTGGGGTTTTTCTTTGTAAATCCAAAGCACGATCCACTCTTTCTACATAAAGCTACTGCAATCAGATGTAGGCAGCTAATGGCTGATTTTACTGCCTTGAGAGCAGCATGTTTCCTCTCTTCCCCTGATTACCCCCAGCACAGAGTCTTGGAAATGGTTTTCTACTCATCAGTCCAACATACAGCTCACATAGTAGAGAAAGATTCCATTATATTAAATCACCAATACACCTCATTCTGATTTTCCACTAGAATGAGCCTTTTGTAAGTGAAGATGAGCTTAATCTGTCTATGTTCCATGACAGCTATGAGCCTGTTCTCAGCTGGAAGCCCTATTGTGTCATTAAGCTTGTTCATGTTCAAGCTTTTAAGATCTCCTCCAAGTTAAACATATCTGAGTCTTCAATACTGGGTAGATTTGCATCTGATGAGGTTGAAACAGGGCAGCCAAGCTTGCCTTTATCTGCAAAAGGCTGGGTAAGTGCATTGTAGCTGAACTTTGTTTCAAAGGCCATGCAAAATTTGGTGATCTTTACACCATATAAATGATTCGAGTCAACACAGCACAAACATGTTTGCCAGGGGCTCAAAAGAGATCAGGGGCTCAAAAGAGATCAGTTGCTTGGTAACTGGCCACAAAACAGACTACAAAAAGCAGTGATATTCATAGAATGTTGAATAATCTGAGTTGGGAAGGACCTACAAGGATTGAGTCCAATGGGAGATTTTGCTCTATTCTAGCTCAACCTGGATCTAGCTCAGTGACAAAGACAGAATGAAATGAGTTTAAGCTGTACTCATAACTAGACATTTTAGATAAATATCATCCTGTAGAATTCATATCAAGCCTTTATTGTTGAGGGTAATGCTCAAAACATTTAACATCGTAATTACTTTTTAGAATAAAACATCACAATTGTATACATATTTGTAAGACTTGCTGTGCTGATGTCAGTAGGGAATACTCTTTTTTTGTTCAGTCGCTGAATTGTTACTGTACCTAACCTTAAAAAAGCCTTGAAAAAAAAAAAAAACAAACCCTGAATATTTTATTCACTCTACTAACTTTCAAAGATACAGTTAAAAAAAAAAAAAAGAAAAAAGAAAAAAAAAAGATTTTCCATTCTGCAGAAACCTTTCTCCCTCCTCACAAAACCTGGTTTTAGGCCCTGCAAGGTCAAAGAAAACAACAGGGCTTTTAAAGGATCTCTCCCCTTTTCTTTTTTTCTTCAAATATTCCTTTATATATTTTAAATTAGTACAATATATCTAATGTGATAGATTGTTGTCCTATACCCAAAGTGTCAGAGTGCACACATTCACCTGCACTTCAAACAAGAAACAGCAGAATTGGAAGCACATACTTCCTTATACTTATTTTTGTACACCTTCAATAAAATGATAAATGCTTTTTAAGCAGTTAGGACTTCAAAATGCATGGATTATTAAAGACTAATTAAAATACATAAGGATCCAGTCCTACCTACCTTAGATATTTCTGGCTCCACTTGTTGCCTCTTGGGTGTCTCTTTTGATTCAGGTCCTCTTGGAGCACTGCTGTTCTTGGCAGCGGGGGATTCAGCTCCCTCACCTTCAAGTTGCAGATTAATACCTTCAGTGGGGACAGGATGATCAATACCATTTGGATTCAGATTGCAATGGATAGCTGGGAAAAAATACAACAAGGAAAACACTGCTTAGGAAAGAAGAATCCAAACGTTGCAAACAGTTACCACTAAGTACTGGGAAATGCCATACGGGAACAGAGTTATGTCAAACAACAGCAAAAGATCTGTCTGTAGCCTGACACAGATCCAGGTTGAGATATTTGAGGAAGAAAATGAGAGGGAATGTAGCACTATACAAGCCTATTTTATGCAGGCCTCTGTGTTACACTGTACCCTACTGGCGCTGCTACAGGGTCTGAGACTCTCAACTTAAGGCTTTTACTAGTGTAGGACAATATATTGCCTGTATTTAGCTTTCAGCCATACCTTTTTCCTCTTTTCTAGGCAAGTAAGTTAAAGTTTCTCTATTACATTTTCTGTTAACTGCAACATTCATGGTTCCAAACAATGAGGGTCAAGTAAGCAGTGCACAGCAAGTCAGAAAGTCGGTCTCTGCATAGAGTAATGACTTAGCCAGCTGATTATCTCCCCTTCAGCACATTGTACTGCTGCAAATCACCACCTACACCATCCTAACAAGCACAAGGGATGCACTTTCTAGGAGCATATAATGAGGTGTGGACTAACGACATCAGGATAAGGAAAGCAGCCAGAGGAAATGAAAAAAATAAAAATAAAAAAAACAACAAATGAGCACAAACCATACCATAAAAATGCACTTTCAGAACTACCACAGTAGCTTAATTCTTTTCTGCCTAAAATTTCGCAGTTCCAGCACTCACATAGAGAGCAGCCTTAACAACTTGCTTGGCACATGCAGAGATTTTAAGATGTATAGATCCTAGGGCAACTTCTCCTTTATGCAAGCATCAGATTGCTGTATTTCTATTCTGTATTTCTGTGCACTGCTCCTAGCACAGCTGGTAATTAATAGCCCAAACTTCCCCTGCAATAGAAGAGCTTTGTTCACACAGATCAAATAGAAACTCAAAAAAACAATGTAAAGCCAAAATAAAAACTGCCCTTTCACTCTTGCTTGGCTTAGGTGTAAAGGGTGGAGAGCAGGGGAAGGAATGAGAGCTGCCAGCTCTGGCAGCTATGCATGTGATCAGCCCCAAAAGCCTCCTGTAGAAAACAGGCTCCAGCAGCCTCAGAATGGGTAAAGGGCCCTTCAGCTACAGCACCTTTTGAACATCCATTACTCAAATTCCAGAGTCTTAATTGAAAGCACTAAATAACAGAAATTCCTTGGTGTAGAATTAAAGGAAACCCAAAGGGTCAAAAATTTGCCTTTTTTCTCTGGGCTTTTCAGAAACGGCCACATATTTGTAAACAGTGAAAGATTTGTACAGGGACCACAATAACTACATCTGTAAGTTAAGGATCAAAATATCTCCTACCTTCAAGTCAAGGAAACAGCTCAGGGTTGCATGGTTAGATTGTGGTTGGACTTGATAATCTTTAAGATCTTTTCCGACCTGAGCAAGTCTATGATTCTATAATTCTATGAAGGGTAATTCATTAATGACAGTGAGTGGTAGAAAGCAGTAAAGAACTGTAATGTTTTATTACAAATTGCAGTCATTATTTCTAAAAGAGAAAAAAAAATATCTGTCACTGGCCAATAGAAAACCAGTAAATTACAGTGGAACTAAATTCCACTCTTACCGTGAGTGACTGCAAGGGAACCTAAAAGCATGGAAAGGAAGAAGGATGTGCAGCTGTCATTTGTTCATACCTGCCATCATTCCCTATCATTCCAGCAGGCCAGGCATTTGCAGTTTCTTCATAGAGCTGTTACAACGCCCAAGTTTCCCAAGCCAACTCTAAGTTGGCTCTTCCCTAATTCTAGCTAGAGCTCTTTCATTTGAAAGTCTCTCTTCTCTCATTCAGTCCAGTGCTGAAGGCAAAGCCAAAGCAAGTCTCCTCATTCTGGCCTTGCCTCTCATCAGTGAGGAAGGAGAACAGATGACTGCCCTCAAGTCACTCCTTTCTTCCCACAGCTTTTCTCAGCCACACCACTGAGTCATACCAAAATATCAACACTCAAAACTCAACAACCTTAGTAGAAGCATTTCCTAACTTTTGAGTCTTGTATTTCTGGACACATGCCATACTAACCCCTTCCCAGATTTTGCTTTTATCGTTGGTTACAGGACTACAATGGAGCTAAACTTGATAACAGCTGCTTGATTTTTCCCTTGCAGAACCTCTTTCTGCGTCAGGAAAAAAAAAAAAACAAATTCCTTTTATATTCTGCAGTGAAGTTGACAGGCTTCACTTGCTCTGGCTGCACAGCCCCTATGGGGAGGTATCATGAACCTGCCCAGCTGCTCTTCAGCAATTTTAAGTTCCCAAGGGAGGTTTCAAGAAGATTCCTTGTGGCTTACAATTATATTACTGTGTGTCTACAGATACCAAAAAATTCCCTCTCTCCACACTCACCTGCAATTATTTTTTTCTAGAGCACGTTTGCTTACCTGAAAGAAAAAAGTAATTACCACAGAAAAGATAGACGTGAGCCATCAAGACAGTTTTTTCCACAGCCCAACGTATATGGAAGCAGTTCTGTTAGCAGTCAGATTTCAGACCACAGTTCCCAACCTTCACCAAAACTAAGAGGTATTCTAACCACCCTGTAGAAGAGCAGGGGCTAGAAGCTAGATATGGAGGACACTCGGTAAGGAATTGCATCCATAAAATAACCAAACTGTCTTCTGCAAGAATCTTGCCCAGCTGAATATGAGGACTTCTATATCTTTGGAACACCTCAACAGCACCCACAAACACACAGCATCCATCTGTCAGCCCCCTTTCTCACCACTGAGAAATCACAAAGCACAGCAGGCTTTCACTCCAGCTGGAAGATCACTCCAGCAGCAAGCTTTCTGTGAACTGCTCATCCCTTCCCAGTGGGCTCTGGACAATACACACTGGGGAGGAAGGTGGGATGAACTAGAAAGCCTTCTAGGTTACAGCAGCGATTCACTGTGATTACAGGGAACAAATGATCCAGATTTTTGATAACATGGTATCATCACCTGGATGGCTTAAGAAATACATGAATCAGGCGGCAAGGTGCTGCTTGACTCTTAGCTTGTTATTCTTTCAGGAGTAACAAATGTAAAGCATTGTACAGCAATGCTTTATATTGTGCTCCTTCAGGATACAGGAGGAAAACATAAATCGGAGAGGCTGCTGGCAAATACATACACCCCCATTATCTTTTTACTGAAAAGAGTTGATTGTTTAAAAGCAGCATGGACTGCCTCAGAAAAGATTTGTTTCCTAGCTACTGATATCAGGTTGGGAGAAAACGATAACTCTTTTCTTTTCTTTTCTTTTGCAGGGGGAGAAGGAAAGAGCTCATCTCTTTCTTCCTTTCTTTCCCCTCATTGCAGCCTTGGCTTACCTCTAAGCCTAGGCTGGCTGCATTCCTTCAGGAGGGCACAGCAGAGCCTCAGCACAGGGAGAAGGCCAACACAAAAGGAACAACTGTGTAAGTGAGAATAAGCATCATTCCAGTCAGTTGGCAAAGCTAATATCTCTTTGTCATGAGCCACTGACAGGTAGTCAGCTCAATTGAGCCTTTTCCAGCATAAACTCCAACTCAGCTACGCAGAAGAAGGGAAGTTGCTTGCATGGTCTTATTCCTGTTACTGCATAGAAATTCCATATATCCAGCTCTACAGCAAGCAGAGGTGGAACTTTTCTCTCTTTAAATGTGCAGTACAAATCATAATTGCTCTTTTAAGACTTGTTAAAAGCAGGCAAAAAGGTCAAGGCTTGGTCAGTAAAAACATGCCCTCTACTTAAACTAGCATCTGATATAATTTCAGCTAGATAAGGCCAGCTCTAAACATCAAGATTGGCTATACAGAGGCACAGGAGGGCTGACAGCTATGAGGCTTGACTTGTAGGACTGAACTGCGCAGCTCTTACAGAGATCTCAATTCATTAACTTTATCACAACTGAACTTCTCTCATCTCAGCTGACTCTTGTTAATTGTAAAGCTCATCTCTTCTGGGAATTAACATTCATCTGAAAAAAAAAAAAAAAAGATTCTCTTTAAATAAAGACAAAGGAATTTCTTGCTAAAACACTTCTCCAGACTCTTACCTGTCCTCCTCCTGGTCTTGGCTAATGTTAGATCATCCCACCTACCGCATTCAGGTCACTTCCCCATGCCACTGCCTTGACAATAACCTTACAGTCTCAGAACTTCCCTCTGATGGATCGAACCCACTTCAGCACTCCCAGATAACAAAAGTCTACAGAGACTTCTACTTCCACATCACTATGAGCCTAACACTGCATCAGCAGTATCATCATGTTTTGAAGTAGAACATCTTCCAGTATTCTTCCATACATCATCCATATGTTTCAGAAATACAATTCATCATCCAGTTTCAAGTCACTGAAGCTCTCCTTTCCCGTTATGCCCACCAGTTAGCCCTGTTCTGAAAACCCCATCTAACAGCTAATCAGGTTTCCCAACAATTATTACTTCATGTGGATTGAAAGCTTTCTGTGGTGGGAACTTATTACTATTGAGGAGAAAGGCTTGGTGTTCTGTGCAGCCCAGCAACAGGCACATGATGAATGGCGTTGGCATACAATGACACAGATCTACAGATAACATTTAGAAAAAAACTGCCTATTATTTAAAACAAAGGTACTTAAGTGCTCTTGTAAGCCTAGCTCAATAGTAGAGCTGAATCTACAGGAAAATAGCCTTTTTTCCAATAACTTCGAAGGAAAGACTGCTTAGATCTGCCAAGTTATGAGAAGCAGAAACTGTGAGATAACAGCAGATTGGGCACCCAAAAATGAGGAAATGACCACATCTGCCCCCCCCCCCCCCCCAAAAAAAAAAAAAACTACGAAAGGAAATGAATAAATCCAACACTGCTTTCTCACACACTAGAACACAAATCCAAGTCCTTTTTGTGCAGACAGAGCAGGCAAATTCATTGCCCTAAAGGAGCTGCTACATGAGCAGAGCTCTGCACCCACACAGAGCCCTCAATGCATGCA